GTGGGTGGGAGGGTAGGTGGAACATGGATGGATGGATGGATGGATGGATGGGTAGGTGGGTAGGTGGGTGGATGGATGGGCAGGCCCAGGAGACTTCAATAAACAAAGTCTGTAGGGTCCCCATTTGGCAGAGTGAGTTTATGGGGAGGAGCCCTCTATTTTCCAACTCTGATTCTTTTATAATGTTTGAGTTTCCCAGTGTTTTAAAAAATCTCACAATTTCTCTTTTCTCACCAGAGAATTAATAGAAGTTGGATGTGAGGATAAAACCCTAGCCTTCAAAATGAATGGCTACATATCCAACGCAAACTACTCGGTGAAGAAGTGCATCTTCTTACTCTTCATCAACCGTAAGTGAAAAAGCCAAGTGGGGAAATCCATCCATGGGGATTTTCTAGAAGTATGGGAAAATTCCTAATCCACAGGTATGGTCACACCTGGGGAAACCTTCTGCGAAGTGTGGTTTGATGAGGGAGCATAACTTCTATCCTTAGCCTGTCCTCTGCCCTCTGAGATGTGCTCACTGCTGACTGGTGTGGAGTCTGGTTCTCTCCTCCAGGAGGAGGCCCAGGAGAGGGCGTCACAGGCCCAGCACACCTTCTGACGGCTGGCATTGGAGCCTCTATAAGCAGGCTCTGGGCAAGGCTTTGTTCTCACCTTAGTTAAAGGTTCACGGGTTGAAATTGCACAGCAGGACAGAGAGATACCGGGGATACAGGCAATGTTGTTGAAGTAGAGAAATTGAACACTAAGCCGCTTGAGATTTTCCTCTTTAAAGAATGAAAGTTATTTATGATAAAACAGCATTAGTGGAAATCAGGGAGGAAATTAATTGGATTTGTCTCAGATTCCTTTCCAGTCTTTATTTCTCTGCTGATATTGTTTCCATGATTGCTGCTGACTAAGTGAATTAATTTTATTTGGCATTCCTCCTCTTTTCACTTAATTGTATATTGTAAGGTTTTGAGACGTAATGACAGGGCAACAACAAATAATCCGAACATAGTCTGACTCAAGTTTTCGTTCTCCCATCCGGAAATAAGATGCATCTTTCCATTTGTTCAGTTTTATCATGTAGGACCTTTACCTTTATTTTTATTTTTTTGTTGTTGTAGTTTAAATGAGGTTTACATTTCAAGTTAGTCTCCCATATAAAAATTTATACATACATTGTTAGGTGACCCTAACTGCTCTCCGCTTACTGTGACAGCACACTCCTCCTTTCCAGCCGACTGCCCATGTCCATTCAACCAGCTCCTAACCCTCTCTGCCTTCCCATCTCACCTCCAGACAGAAGCTGCCCATTTAGTCTCTTGTATCTACTT